TTGGATTGGGTTATCAGACATGACACAGTATAATCAAAAACAAGATTCTTGTAGACCCACCCATCATTTCTGAAGAACTCCTGCCATGTGATAAGACCATCCTTAATAGTTTGTAATTTCTCCCTTGTGGACTCTTCATTTTGTTCCACTTCCTTTTTAAATCTATTCATTGAGCTTCGCCATTTCTGTGTCAACTTCTGCAATAGTGCAAGGTCTGCAGTGTCCTAGATAATATGCATGGAATCAAAACACTCATTCACTTATTCACATAACAAATACTTATTAACATACACTAATAATATTAATTAGTATATTAATATCGTAATACTAGAGACGTCCATAGAAAATGGATCAAAATTGAGAAGATATTCCTCTTTCAAAATATCGTCAGTAACACCACACAGTTCCTTTGCTGGTGAATTTTCCATGGTACATAAAATATTGGAGACAAGATATTTTTCCTTTGCAACATGAGCCCAATTTCCCCACAGGACTTTCATGGGAGGTAGTGTGGTACATTGGAAAGAACAGGAATTTCAAAGCCAAACAAAACCAAATGTGAATCCTAGCCAATTATTGGCTATGTAACCTTACAGGATGTTATTTAATTTATTGGGATTAATTTTTCTTATCTACAAAATAAAGACCCTAATATATTTCTCACAGAATTGCTATACGAATGAAATGAGGGATGCCTGGGTGGCTCAGCCATTAAGCGTCTGCCTTCGGCTCAGGTCACGATCCCAGGGTCCTTGGATCGAGTCCCACATCGGGCTCCTTGCTCAGCAGGGAGCCTGCTTCTCCCTCTCCTGCTCTGCCTGCTGCTCCCCGGCTTGTGCTCGCACTCTCTGACAAATAAATAAATAAATAAAATCTTAAAAAAAAAAAGTAAGAAATGACTAGTGTAAATGGTACGACTCTAGAAACACACTAAATGCCACTTCTCTCCTTTTCAACCAAGTGTGCTCATTGAATTTTTGCATAAAATTGCATAAAATGCAACAAGAATACCACTATTTCAATGAACATAGCTACTTACATTTTTTTAATTTAAATACTAATAAATAGAATAAGTCTATAAATAACATTTGCAGTATTATTAACTTAAATTGCTTAATTGCTTTAATTAGGCTAGAAGACAAATATAAAGAAGAGCATTTATTCACATTTCCTTAGATTTTTCATTCCACTCACAATAAAGCACAAATACAAAACTATATTTAAAATTTATAAACTTAGCAAAGCCTTCTTAAACCCTCAAAGGCTAGAGTCTCTTTTCTCATAACATAAGTAAATTGAGCTTTACCTTGGTTGACAGCAGTATGATGAAATGCTTAGCATATTTATTCCAACCTTTTTCATTGAGGTAAAGTCTTTTAGCCAATATGACTCCATTTTTTTCAATTACCTAGTTGAAGAAAGTACTAAAATGAGGAATCTAAGACATTAATAAACCCCTGTGATTTATTAAACCCTAACCAATTTCAAATATTAATTTTTCATTGAATCATTAATTCAATCACAATTTCTTGTTTAAATCATGAGCTAATTTGAATCATAAACTCATGTTTTCTAAACCTCCTAAATTGGAATCTAACTGAAGTATGTAGTAGAGGTTCTCAAGCAACCTGATCTCAAAATCCCTTTATACTCTTAAAAATTAGTGAAGACTCCAAAGAACTTTCATTTATATGCATTAAATCTATTCAATAGTCACTGTATTGAAACTTAAAACTGAAATTATTTAAAATATGTATTTGTTAATTCACTTAAACATAACAATAAATCCATTATACATTAACATAAATGGTATTTTTATGCATGCATGTGCAAATGAGAGTGAAAAAAGGCAAATAACATCTTAATATTATGATGAAACTAGTTTTCACCTCATGAAAGGGTCTCATGTATCCCCAGGGGGTCCTTGGACCATACTTTGAGAACCACTGGTATATTGAATCAATTATACAGTCATTCAGTGAACGACTGTTCTAGACACTGTGCATATTGCCATGAACAAAAGAGACAGTCTCTTTGTTAGGGAGGTGACATTCTAGCTGTCATTCATTTCCTGTTGGAAGGGCCTTTAGAGATGAGCTAACACAAAGCCTCCACCAATTCAAGGTATTTTTCCACAGAAACCACAAGGGCTCAGTTCTCTATTGTTTAAATACTTCTAGAGTGAAGAAACTCACTTGTCTTCTTATTCCGACTGAACAGGCCTAGCTCTAAAAATATACATTTACTGTCATGATTGTTTCCTCTTGACATGTCATTTTAAAATTCTGCATCAGGATGAAACATTATATCCTAGATGAGATCTGACTATTCCAGAGGAAAATGAGACAGAAGTTTGAATCTGTTGAGGGTCATAATTTGCTGTTAATACTTAATAAACACCAAGTCCCAGGTGAGAGAATAGGCAACCAAACAGCAAACATTTCAAAAACAATAGAATATTGTGGGACTATGATATTTCCCTAAAGTATTACATTAGTGGCCCACAGATTGCCATATTTTAACTCTTTTGTCATCTTAGATGTCAAGGTAATAGAACCAAAGTCATATAATCCTAATATGGTTACACTGTGTGAAAAAATACAAACAATTTTTCCTAGTTCATTATTAGTATAAATTAAAGTTGAAAGTTTTAACACGTTCACAAACAATAGAAAAAGAATTCTTGCTCATACTTTATAGATTCTGGTGAGAAAAAGAGCCCTTAACTGGGCAATAGAGAAGTACTTAATAGAGAAGAAACAAAAGAAAAAAATGTAACTTTCCTTTTTCAAGGCCCATAATAGCTACATTATTCATAAATTAAATATACATCCTCATTTTTAAAATTTTTGTCTAGATTACTGAAAATTGTAAAACAAAATTTTATTCAGTCAAAAAAGAAGTCTGAGTTATGTTTCCAGATGAGCCAACCTTTAGGGCCAATTCATATGTGGCTGAGCTCCAGAGATCTCTCTCTGCCATTAACTGTTTAATATCACTCTCCATCCTTCCTCTTTGCAGTGTGTATAAGTCATGGTATTCTTCTACAATCCTAAAAGAAAAATTAAAAAGTATATACAGACTTTGTTTTTGAGAAGTCACACTTATTGGATATTGTTATGATACGGGACATTTAAAAACAAGTTTGTTCTAAAATAGGCAGTTTGTTCTTTTAAAATTCATCATAAAGTAATTATGGCATAATTGCTGGTACCCAGTGAAATAGAAGAAAAAATAGTCACATTTCACTTATAAATCTTACAAAAGTCTTAAAGTAAAAAATTCAATATGTTGTTCCTTGCTCTAAACGCTTTTCTTCATATTGTTTATTCACTAGAATTTTCATAACATGGTATTGCAATAGAATAACAGCAGTATATCTAATTTTAAAAATCTGAATACAAAATAGGATTCTTTATTAAAGACACAAAGCCCAGTAATTATGAGCCACTATACTTTTAAATTATATATAATTAATATGATTTAAAGAAATTCTCTACCAACCAACTAAAAGATTAAGTATAATCAAGTAAGTACCTTTTTCTTAACTACCTTTTCTTCATGTTTATCAGAACATACCTTTTCCTTCCAATTTAAACTGAAGCTTAGAATTAAATTAGAATTAAAAGTGCTTCTGAGATTGAATACAAACAAAGAAGTTGTAAAGGGGTAGCATTTCACAAGCCATTTGAAACACCTCCTCCCAAGGAATATTAACTTTGCTACAAGAATTAAAGGCCCATTACAGGAATTCAGCAAAGTGGCAGGATATAAAATCAATGCACAGAAATCAGTTGCACTTCTATACACTAAAAATGAGACAGAAGAAAGAAAAATTAAGGAGTGGATCGCATTTACAATTGCACCAAAAACCATAAGATACCTAGGAATAAACCTCACCAAAGAGGCAAAGGATCTGTACTCAGAAAACTATAGAATACTCATGAAAGAAATTGAGAAAGACACAAAGAAATGGAAAAACGTTCCATGCTCATGGATTGGAAGAACAAATATTGTGGGGTTTTTTTTAAGATTTTATTTATTTATTTGAGAGAGAGAGAGAGCATGCACACAAGCATAAGCAGGGGACGCGGGGGTGGGGAGAGGCAGAGGGAGAAGCAGACTCCCTGCTGACCAGGGAGCCTGACATGGGGTTCGATCCCAGGACCCAGGAATCATGACCTGAGCCGAAGGCAGACACTTAACCAACTGAGCCACCCAGGTGCCCCAAGAACAAATATTGTTAAAATGTCTATGCTTTCCAGAGCAATCTATACATTCAATGCAATCCCTATTAAAAATACCATCAAGTTTTTTTCACAGAGCTGGAACAAATAATCGTAAAATTTGTATGGAACCAGAAAAGACCCCAAATAGCCAAAGGAATGTTGAAAAAGAAAACCAAAGCTGGCTGCATCACAATTCTGGACTTCAAGCTCTATTACAAAGTTGTAATCATCAAGACAGTATGGTACTGGCACAAAAACAGACACATAGATCAGTGGAACAGAATAGAGAGCCCACAAATGGACCCTCAACTCTATGGTCAACTCATCTTTGACAAAGCAGGAAAGACTATCCAACGGGAAAAAGACAGTCTCTTCAACAAATGGTGTTGGGAAAACTGGACAGCCACATACAGGAGAATGAAACTGAACCATTTCCTTACACCATACACAAAAATAGACTCAAAATGGATGAAAGACCTAAATGTGAGACAGGAATCCATCAAAATCCTTGAGGAGAACACAGGCAGCAAACTCTGTGACCTTGGCCACAGCAACTTCTTGCTAGATGTGTCTCCAAAGGCAAGAGAAACAAAGGCAAAAATGAACTATTGGTACTTCATCAAGATAAAAAGCTTTTGTACAGCAAAGGAAACAGTTGACAAAATCAAGACAACTGACAGAATGGGAGAAAATATTTGCAAATGTCTTATCAAATAAAGGGCTAGTATCCGAAATCTATAAAGAACTTACCAAACTCAACACCCAAAGAACAAATAATCCAGTCAAGAAATGGGCAGAAGACATGAACAGAAATTTCTCCAAAGAAGACATCGAAATGGCCAACAGACACATGAAAAAATGCCCAACATTGCTCGGCATCAGGGAAATACTAATCAAAACCACAATGAGATACCACCTCACACTAGTCAGAATGGCTAAAATGAACAATTCAGAAAACCACAAACATTGGCGAGGATGCTGAGAAAGGGGAACTCTCCTACACCGTTGGTGGGAATGCAAGCTGGTGCAGCCACTCTGGAAAACAGTATGGAGGTTCCTCAAAAAGTTGAAAATAGAGCTACTCTATGACCCAGCAATTGTACTACTGGGTATTTACCTCGAAGATACAAATGTAGTGATCCGAAGGGGCACCTGCATTCCAATGTTTATAGCAGCAATGTCCACAATAGCCAAACTGTGGAAAGAGCCCAGATGTCCACTGACAGATGAATGGATAAAAAAGATGTGGTATATATGTATATATACAATGGAATATTATGCAGCCATCAAAAAATGAAATCTTGCCATATGCAACAACATAGATGGAACTAGAGGGTATTATGCTAAGCGAAATAAGTCAATCAGAGAAAGACAATTATCCTGTGATTTCACTCATATGTGGAATTTGAGAAACAAAACAAAGAAGCATAGAGGAAGGAAGGGAAAAATAAAACAAGATGAAACCAGAGAGGGAGACAAACCTTAAGAGACTCTAAATCATAGGAAACAAACTGAGGGTTGCAGGAGGGGAGTGTTTGTGGGGATGGGGTAACTGGGTGATGGACATTAAGGAGGTCATGTGATGTAATGAGCACTGGCTGTTATAAACAACTGATGAATCACTGAACTCTATCTCTGAAACTAATAATATACTATACATTAAATAATTGTATTTAAATAAATAAATATATATAAAATTTTATATATATATTTTTTTTTTTTTTTTTGAAGAATTAAAGGTCGGTGACATAGAATTCTTCTAATTTTGGTGAAAGCCAAGAGCCACCAGTGTCAGTTCTCGAAAGCCTTCTTTTTGGAGACTTCCACTTGTCCAGAGTAACTAATAAAAATTAATCACCCGAGGTGTCACATAGGTGAATACACATATGAAAATTCAACAAGTTATATACCCTTACAATTTGCGCACATTACTACCTGAAAGTTAGACGCTTATTTTTTTTTTCAGGTAGGCTCCACACCCATCATAGAGCCCAATGCAGGACCTGAACTCACAACCCCAAGATCAATACCTAAGCTGAGATCAAGAGTTGGACACTTAACTGATTGAGCCACCCAGGCACCCCAGACAGTGATTTTAAAAAGAGAATTAATGATCCCTGTTTATAATAGCAAAAGAAAAAAATTCAGAAATAACCTCATGCCCCATAATAAGGGATTGGTCACATAAAATATATGATATAGCTCTATGATGAAAATGCTCTGCAACTAATTAAAGATCTTGTTGTTGTTAATATTTTGGTACATGGGAAAATTTTTCATGTTTGTAACATGAGATAACCCAAATGGTAAAATTATATATTCGGTTTGATCTCATTTATATAAAAAATACATAGAAGTCAATAAAAGAAAAATATATGAAAATACTAATAGTGTTTACCTCTGAGAGAAAGAATTATGGGTGCTCTTTTTTTCCTTACTTGTTTCTATTTTCCTAATTTTCAATAAAATAATCAGTTATTATTTTAAAAAGTATTAATAAAAATTTCTAATCACACACACACACAAAACCCATCCTACTTCAGACCTTCTCCATTTCCTTCCCTTTCTCTCTGGCTTTAGATGTTCTTATAATGGACATTAGCACAAAAGAAGTTCTAACTTATTTTTAATTAATTCATTCAACAAATATCTGTTTAGTGCCTACAATATGCCAGGTACTATTCAAAACAAAACAAAACAAAACTTTGCCCTTATAAAGTTTAGTTACGAGATAATCAACAAATAAAAAAGTAAAACATACTAAGCAGTGGTAGTGCAATAGATAAAAATCATCAGGGAAAGGGGATTGAGAGCACAAAATCTATTGTGTTTTAAATGGAGGGGGATGAGCAAAGGTCCAAAGGAAGGAGGGAGAAGGCTAGCAGCTCTCTGGGGGCGGGGAAGGGGAAGAGGATTCCAGGCCCCAAGTGGGAGCCTGTCTGGTATGTTCAAGGAACAGCACAAAGGCTGCAAGTCTGAAGAAAGTAGAAGTCAGAGAAATCCTGGTAGGATGAGTCTTGCAAACCATTTTTTTAAAAACACGGCCCTTTATTCTAAGATGGGGAGCTACTACAGAATTTTGAGCAGAGAAATGACATTACTGGAGTCAAATTTTAATAGATCATACTGAAACCACATAAGATGGTTTATGTGGTTAAGAAATTAAGATGGACATACAATGTTTCAGCAAGGTTTGACTCTTAAGTTGAACAAATTTTTCTCTTCCTCATTCTTGAAGCCCCCTCCCCCAATCACTTGTGCTTCTGTGGGATCCTCTGTTCCAGGAACTTGGTATAGATGTTGATACCTAGTAACCAGACTCATGGCCGGCACAAGCACCAGTCACGAGACCACCTTGAAGACATGAGGAACGTGGCTGGCAGCACATACCGGATTCCTAGTGAAACCGCCCAGAACCTGCATTTTCCTATAAAACCTCTCAGGCTTTTACCCAGGGGAGGTCTGCAGTTTTGAAGGCATTAGCCTGCTCCGGCCTCCTTTGCTTGGCAAAATAATAAAACTATTGTTCCTCTTTATCCCCAAACTCGGTCTTCATGTCGTATTTTGGCTCCGGAGCCCAGAGGTCAGTTTTCGACAACAATCTTGGCTGGTGTGTGGACAACAGCCTACGCGGTGTACACGCAGAAGTAAAAAGGTGATTCCGAGGTTACCGCAACACTGCAGCCAAGAGATGCAGATGGCAGGACAGAAGTGGGGAGGACTCGGCATATGTAGTGAAAGGTGACTGACTCTGCCACGGAGAAAGGTGAGATGTGAGAGAAAGAAAGGGATTAAGAATTAACATAATAAAAAATTGGGAAAAAAAAAGGACTCCAAGAGTTTTGGCCCCAGAAACTGGAAGGATGGAGTTGCCGTTAACTGAAATAAGATGAGTGTGGGAGGAGTAGTTTTGGGGAAAAGAACAGGAATTCAGTTTGGGAATGTTAGGCAGCTAAGTAGAAGTGTTGAGGCCGTGGAATATGTAAGTCTGGAATTCAAAGAGAAGATTGAAACTGGGCGTACAAATTTGTGGAGAAGGGCGTAGATACATATTTGTGAGCTGAGAGTATACAGGTTGATGACATTGAAAGCCAGGAAACAAGAGATTTAGTCAGTGAATATAGATACAGAAAAGATCCATGGAATGCACACTCTACCATTTAGAAATTGGTGAAATGAAAAGGAATCTGCAAGGGATATCAGTAAGAAAGAGCAGATAGTAAAGGAGGAGGAAACTAAGAGAGTGTGATATACTGAAAGACATTGCTTCATGCAAGAGCAAGTGATGAGTTCTGATAAATGCTGCGGGTAAGTCAAGTTAAAGGAGAATTGAGAAGCAACCTTTAGATTTAGCAACATGAAAGTCACTGGTGACTTTGACAATTGCACTTTGGTGGGGTGGGGGTACTGAAAGCCTGATTGGAGTGGGTTCAAGTGACAAAGAGAGGACCAGGAGTAGACACTGAATATGACAACTTTTTGAAGATTACTATAAGCAGCAGGGGCGGGGAGGAAATGGGGCCATAGCTAGAAGGGGATACGCATGTGGTCCTAGGAGACTTAGGAGTCTTTTGTTTTTTGGCTGTTGTTTTTGAGATGGGAGTACTTACAACATACTTGTATACTAATGGGACTAATCAGGAAAATAGGGAAAAATTAATGATATGGGAGAAAGAGGGAATATTTGCTGAAAATATCTTGAGTAGGTATGAGGTGATGGAATAGTATACAAATGGGAAGATTGGCCTCAGAAAGAAAGAGACAATTGGTCCACAGTAAAAGACAGGAATGAGTATCAGACAAGCACAGATGCAGGCGGGTGGGTAGATTTAGGGGTGAGAGCTGGAGTTCTCTTGCGTTTGCTTCTAACTTTTTAGAAAGCAAGCTCATCAGCTCAGAAAAAGGATGGAGAGATACTATTAGAGGAATGAGGATAGAAGACAAAGTATAGAATAGTTTTCTGCTAAGACAAGAAAGGTGAATCATCTACAGAAAACAGCAGTATATTCAGTGCACAAAAAATGATCAAGGTACCCTTCTCATTCGAATAAAAGTAGGAATGTATCTCTGAATTTAGATTTTGTATACATTTGTGTTTTTCTTGACATTTTAAAAAAATACAGTTACTCTTCAACACATTTTTTTAAAAAAGCAGAAGACTATGCTGAATTAAAAGGATCATAAAACAAGGTACAATATGCGGCCCTAGATTGGATACTGGTTTGGACAACCCAATGTAAAATACATTTTGGGAATAATTGGGAAAATCTGAATATGACCTGGGTAATTTGTGAAGTGAAACTTTACTGAAATAGGTAGAGACTACTGACTGAAAAAAAAAAAAAAACAGGCTGTATAACAGTGTATACAGTACAATTTAAAACAATGCATGTGTGCATATATACATAGGAAAAAAGGATATACACTAAGGCATGTATAGCAGTAATCTATGAGTGGTCAAACGGATATTTTTAATTCATTTTTGCTTGTTTGTATTTTCTACTTACAAGGCACATATAATGCTTCTATGATAGTATATGATTTTTAATCAATTAAATAAGAAAAATTAAAAATACAATCAGATATATCATTTGATATATACCCAAGAGCTCCTAGTAATCAGAACTCTAACCGAAAATGAAACAGGATAAAGGTCAACAAATTACAGCCTGTGGGTTTACAACCCACCACTTGTGTTTTGTATAGAACACAAGCTAAGAATTTTAGATTTTTAGTTTTTTACATATTTTACTTTTTATATTTTTAATGGTTAAAAAAGCAATAGGATAACAATATTTTGTGACACATGAAAATTTTTATACCTTCAAATTTCAGTGTCAATAAATAAAGTTTTATTGGAACACAGCCATGTTCTGGTATTGCCCTTGCCTGCTTTTACACTATAGTAGCACACATTACGAAGGCAGAGTTGACTGATAGTTGCATCAGAAACCATATCTCACCACCTGACCCTTTACAGGAAAAGTTTGCTAACCCTTAAAATAGGATAAAAACATTAGGACTGTAGTAGATTTATTAAAATCTAAAAAAGAACTAGACTCACACTACTAATTAGGAAAACACAAACAAAAACCAGATACCTTTTCATACCCATCAGACTGATAAAAGATATGGACAAAAGGGAAATCTCATACACTGATAAGAGGATATACTGGTACGACTACTTTGTAGAGCATTTGGCAACATGCTGGGAAGACAAGGCCATGCATAGCCTATGACCCAGTAACTCCACTTCTAGGGATACACCCCTGGAAAATTCACACAAGAAGACATTAATGAGGGTGCCTGGGTGGCTCAGTTGGTTAAGCGACTGCCTTCGGCTCAGGTCATGATCCTGGAGTCCCCGGATCGAGTCCCACATCGGGCTCCCTGCTCCGCGGGGAGTCTGCTTCTCCCTCTGACCCTCTTCCCTCTCGTGCTCTCTATCTCTCATTCTCTCTCTCTCAAATAAATAAATAAAATCTTAAAAAAAAAAAAGAAGACATTAATGAGATGTGTATTAACCAGTGCCAGGAGGAGTTACTAAATACGTTTATTAAAAGTTTCTTGTACCTATATTAACTCCTACAGGCACTGTTGTAACAAAAAACTTCAAATGTTTCTATAAAATTTTGTTTCTTCAAATAAGGTGTGAAGCATGTATGACATAATGGCTAACATCTGGTAACTCACCTAGCATTCTTTTCAGCATCTAAAAGAGCTTGTGCCAAATCCTTGTGGGCTTTCCCTGCTTCCTTTGTTAATTTCATATCATGAGCCCGAACCAGACACAGCTCCCTGAAATAAAGCAAAGAAATTTTATATTCATAGTTGAAGAGTTCCAAAAAGTTTCTACCCAGAAAATCCGATTTATACTCAGGAATCTTCTCAGTTATGTGTAAATCTCTTCCTAGTTTTTGTACTTTATAAGCCAAATCAAGAAATCTAGTGTCTATTTGGATGGAATTCCATCAGGCTTGGCAATGGAATCTGGTTGGCTAGAAAGGGCAGAAAGATGATGTGAGAGATCCTCTCGAATAGAGAGAAGGCAGATGCTAACAGGCAAGGCCACCAGGCTGCTATGTCCTACCCTCTGACATGCCTACCTTACCCTCTTCATTCTTGCCACGAATCTTCTTGGCACAGATTAGAGGATCACTAACCTTGACTGCTATGTAACACTTACCCTCTTTGGGATTTAAACCTTAACATCCATAATCATGCCACTACTCTGTAAACATGACTAAGATCAACATCTCAGTCCTAGAAGAAGAATAGCAATCGCTTCCCTATCAAACACACACAGAGCCCTAGTTTTGTGTTAACGTGTGTAACCCAGTCCTTTCTGTCTCTTCCTAAACCCCCAAAAAGAAAAAGAGTCCTCACTTTTAACCATTCTACTTTTCCTGTTTTTTATTCTCTTTAGAGTCACGGTTTTGACTTGTGTTTTGTGTTTAAGATAATCACAGATTTTACCTGGTCAGTTCTTCAATAACATTCTTAAAATTGTACAGTTCTTCTAAAATGCGCTGGTCCATCATTCGCTGAGTTACCAAGTCTTTGTAGAAATCAATCATCTGCCGTGCAATTTGGTCAAGCATTTGTACATACCGCTCTCTGCATGAGAAAGAAAACAAGGTTATCATGCAAAAAAAGAAAAGGAAAAAAGAGCGAGAAAATATATGAAAGAAAAAGTAATGTTAGGGCAAGAAATAGATGCTGATAAAAGATATGCAGGAAGAACAAGATAGGAAAAGAAAGGGAACTAATATGTATATTCCTGCCATGCTCACACAAACAAATGAACTGTGGAGGATTTTAACCAGAGTCATAATCATTTGAAATGTAATGTTTGAGATGTAAAACAAAATGAGGACTTCTTTTATTTCTTCTTCTAAATTATAAATTCTATGAGGATAGAAACCATGTCTTACGTATTTATATAGAATGGGATTTTTTATAAGTAGTTGAATTCATGAATAAATCCACTTTTCTCAAGTTGTTTAAACCCAAAAAGACACCAACTGTTCAAAAATGAATAAAGACCCTAAATTCAAAGAAGTCATTTCTTTCAGTCTGAATAAAACCAAATATTTGGAAATGATCACAAATGATAAATTACGAATACCATACTGAGCAGCCTTTATTTGTATTAAAATTGATCCTGGTGTTATATCCTAAGCCTGAGACCACTGAATTATAATATCTTTGAGTTGGAATGGTTGATTAGTCTTGTTTTTTTTTTTAAGGTTTTATTTATTTATTTGTTAGAGAGAGAGTGCAAGCAGGGGGAGCTGCAGGCAGAGGGAGAGGGAGAAGCAGGCTCCCCGCTGAGGAGGGAGCCTGACATGGGGCTGGATCCCAGGACTCTGGGATCATGACCTGAGCCGAAGGCAGACGCTTAACCATCTGAGCCACCCAGGTGCCCCTGGTCATTTAGTTTAATCTCTCACCCATAACAGAAAGAATTATCCAGCCCTTGCTTAAACGCCTAGAATTACAGAGAGTTTATCAGTTCGGTATGTAGTTCATACACTAGGAAGTATCAATTCTTTAAGACTTCCCTCCTGGAAATACAAGGACAAAATACTCTGAAGGGTCTTCTTATTACAACAACTAGATCCATGACAGAGCATACTTTCTGAAGCATTATTGGGCTTCCAGGAAAAAAACAGAAGTCTCTAGGGGCGACAAACAAAAACAATAAATAAGATACAATATACTAAGTCCCGGGATCGAGTCCCACATCAGGCTCCCTGCTCAGCGGGAAGTCTGCTTCTCCGTCTGCCCCCCCCCCCTCTCATGTGCTCTCTCTCTCTCTCTCTCTCTCATTCTCACTCTCTCAAATAAATAAATAAATCTTTAAAAAAAAAAAAAAAAGAACTAAACCCCCTGATGCAGAGACCCACCTGCAGGAGGGATATCACAGGTGTGGAGGTTCCACACTGAAGAGCAAGGGGTTCAAGCCCCACACTGGGCAACCCTTGCCTGGGGATCTGCACTGGGAAGATGAGCTCCCATAACATCTGGCTTTGAAAATCAGCAGGGCTTACTCCAGGAGAGCCAGAGGGTTATAGGAACTGAGATTCTGTTCTTAAAGGGCTGCCACACAGTATCCCTCACTCTGAGACCCAACACAAAGGCAGCAGTTTGAAAAGCACCTGGGCTGGAGTGAAGGAGATTTACTGACAAATTTTAGGGTGTGTGATGGAGGGACAGGGATCTATAGGAAATTTCTCCAGGAAAAAAAGTGCTGGTAAGCACTATTTTTTTTTTCTTTTTTTGCCTTCCTTCAGCCTAGATGGCCTAACACTGGTGGATGCCAGTTCTGACACTCTCCATTTACCTTGTCTGCACCTATGGACCCATCCCAGCATCCCCTTGCAGACCCATCCTGCCCAACCTGCCCACCCTGGCAACTGTGTCTTCCAAAGCCTCTAGTGTCCTGTAATACACAGCAGGTAGCCTCAGCTAGGACAGACACTCCTCCAGAGTGACTCCTGCCCTGCCCCTGCTCTCGTGCATGGCACGTGCTCTCTCTCAAATAAATAAATAAATCAGACGGTTAAATACAAAGGGTGTTATATATAAACTCATCGTAACCACAGGTCATGATCTCAGGGTCATGAGATCGAGCCCCATGTCAGGCTCTGTGCTGGGCATGAAGCCTGCTCAAGATTCTCTCTCTCCCTCTCCCTCTGCCCCTCCCCTGCACAGATGCACATGCACACTCTCTCATAAATAAATAAATAAATAAATAAATAAATAAATAGACTGTTAAATACATAGGGTATTACAGATAAACCTCATGATAACCACAAACCAAAACCTATAACAAATACACAAGAAATCATAAAGAGAAAGGAATCCAAGCATAATACTAAAAAAAATCATCAAATCGCCAAAGAAAGGGAAAGAGAAGAATATAAAAAGAACCAAGAGGGGTGCCCGGCTGGCTCAGTCAGTAAGAATGCAACTCTTGATCTTGGGGTTGTAAGTTCAAGCCTCATGTTAAGTATGGAAATAAAAATAAAATCTTAAAAAAACAAAGAACCGGGATGCCTGGGTGGCTCAGTTGGTTAAGCGTCTGCCTTTGGCTCGGGTCATGATCCCAGGGTCCTGGGATTGAGTCCCATATTGGGCTCCTTGCTCAGCAGGGAATCTGCTTCTCCCTCTGCCTGCCTCTCTCACTCTCTCATTCTGACAAATAAATAAATAAAATATAAAAAAAAAAGAACCAGAGACAATCAACAAAATTGCAATAAGTATAAACTTATGAATAATTAATTTAAATGTAAATGGACTAAAGGTCAAAAGACATAGGTGATTAAATGGATAAAAATAAGTAAGACTCCTATATGCTGCCTACAAGAGACTCACTTCAAATATAAAGACATATGCAAAATGAGTGAAGGGATAGAAAACCATATTCCATGCAAATGGAAATAAAAAACCTGGGGTAGCAATAATTATATCACACAAAATAGACTTTAGAACAACAAACATAACAAGAGACAAAAATAGCATTACATAATGATAAAGGGGATACAGCAATTTATTTACCAACAAATTCAACAACCTAGAAGAAATGGATAAATTCCTAGAAACATACAATCTTCCCAGAATGAATCAGGAAGAAATAGAAAATCTAAACAGATGAATTACTAGTAATTAAATTGAATCAATAAACAAAAAACTCTCAAAACCAACAGAAGTCAGGACCAGACTGCTACAAATGTAAATTCTACCAAACATTTAAAGAAGACTTAATATCTATTCTCAAACTATTCCAAAAAACAGAAAAGGAAGAATCGTTTCAAATTCATTCTATAAGGACAGCACTACCCTGATAGCAAAACCAAAGACACCACAAAAGAAGGGAAGGGAAGGGAAGAGAAGGGAGGAAAAGAAAAGAAGATAAAAGAAAAGAAAATTAGAAGCCAATATCCCTAATGAACACAGATGCAAAAATCCTCAACAAAATATTAGCAAACTGAATTCAATAATACATTTAAAGGATCATTCACCACAATCAAGTGCAATTTATTCCAGGGATGCAAGGATGGGTCAATATCCACAAATCAGTGTGATATACCACATTAACAAAATGGAGAATAAAAACCATATGGTCATCTCATTAAATGCAGAAAAATCATTTGGCAAATTCAACATCCATTTATGATAAAAACTCTCAACAAAGTGATATAGAGGGAACAAAACTCAATATAATAATGGCTATCTGTGACAAACCCACAGCTAATATACTCAGTGGTGAAAAGATGAAAGCTTTTCTTTAAGATCAGTAACAAGACAAGTGTGTTTACTCTTGCCACTTTTATTCAACATAGTACTAGAAGTCCTAGCCACAGCAATCAGACAAGAAACAAAAATAAAAGGCAACCAAATTAGTAAGGAAGAAATAAAACTATTTGCAGATGACATAATACTATATATAGAAAACCCTAAAGACTCCACCAAAAAACTCAGAATAAATGAATTCAGTAAATTTGCAGGATATAAAATTAATATACAGAAATATGTTGTTTTTATATACTAATAAACTAGCAGAAAGAGAAATTAAGAAAACGATCCCATTTACAATTGCACCAAAAATAATAAAATACCTAGGAATAAATTTTACCAAGGAGGTGGAAGATGTATACTCTGAAAACTACAAGATACTGATGAAAGAAATTAAAGGTAACATAAACGGGTGCCTGGGTGGCTCAGTTGGTTAAGCGACTGCCTTTGGCTCAGGTCATGATCCTGGAGTCCCGGGATCGAGTCCCACATCGGGCTCCCTGCTCAGCAGGGAGTCTGCTTCTCCCTCTGACCCTCCCCCCTCTCATGTGCTCTCTCTCTCTCATTCTCGCTCTCTCAAATAAATAAAATCTTTAAAAAAAAAAAATAAAGGTAACATAAACAAATTGAAAGATATACCCTGCTCATGGATTGGAAGAATTAATATCATTAAAATGTCCATACTGGGGCTCCTGGGTGGCTCAGTCTTTGGGTGTCTGCCTTCAGCTCAGGTAATGATCCCAGGTCCTGGGATCGAGCCCCACACTGGGCTCCCTCCTTGGCAGGAGGTCTGCTTCTCCCTCTCCCACTCCTCCTGCTTGTGTTCCCTCTCTCACTGTGTCTTTCTCTGTCAAATAAATAAATAAAACCTTTAAAAAAAAAATAAAATGTCCATACTGCCCAAAGCAAGCTACAGGTTCAATGAAATCTCTATCAAAATACTAACAACAGGGGCTCCTGGGTGGCTAAGTCGTTAGGCATCTGCCTTCAGCTCAGGTCATGATCCCAGGGTCCGGGGATTGAGCCCCACGTTGGGCTCCCTGCTCAGCGGAGCCTGCTTCTCCCTCTCCCACTCTCCCTGTTTGTGCTACCTTTCTCGCTTTTTATATAAATAAATATATAAATAAATAAATAAAATCTTTTTAAAAATGCTAACAATGTTTTTTACAGAACTAGAATAATCCTAAATTCATATGGAACCTTGGAGGACCCTGAATAGCCAAAGCAATCTTGAGAAAGGAGAACAAAGCTGAAGGTATCACATTCCCAGATTTCAAACTATACTACAATTCATTGGTGATCAGAACAGTGTGGTA